AACTGCACTATTTTTTTGTTTGTTTGTTTTGGTCTTTTTGAGACAGGGTCTCCCTGTAGCCAGACTCTGCCTCCCGAGTGCTGGGATTAAAGGCATGCGCCACCAAACCCCGGCTAACTGCACTTTTTTAAGTGACTGATGGGGCGAGAATTCTGGGAAGGAAAAGTACATTATCTCACTAAAGGGATAATTATTCCTCCTATATCTTTGGCATGGCTTATGGTAAATTGGCCTTCCTGAGGGGTGGTCCCTTGGCCAGGTGATTGACTGGCCCAACTGGATTAAATTTTCCTTTTTGGTAGCTTCTTTACCAATGTCAGAGAAGCAGCTTTCCCTAATGAGCCTCCACAAAGCCCTAATCAAGACTACTGTAACAACAAGATTATAAAAACATACTACTGCCTTCTCTTAATCTAAATGGGCCTGTCAATCAGCTGGACAGGAAAACACCCCTTCAAAGTTGTAACTTTAAGAAACATGATACACCCAAAAAGATTGGAGGAATACTTTTCTCCTTAATGAGACATGTACCTGTATGCCCCAGAAGCCCCTTCTTCTTTGATGTAGTTGCTTGTAGACCCTCACTATGAAGCCTGCCACTTTTGGAGTTCCAATTTAGAAAGTTCAACTTGTTCTTTCCCCTTTCTGTCTTTTTCTTTTGGATGCCTGCCAAATCAAAGGCCTGCCTGCTGATACCCTGGGCACTCTTACTCTCTGAAAAGCCAAGTGTATCTTGTTGCAGACTTCCATTGCTGAGCCTGCCTGATTTTCTGACCTTTAACTCAGAAAACGTGACTTCCTCTCCATCTACCTTCTTCCTTCAGGAAGCTGTTAAGATTTACAGCTTTGGCTGAGGTTGCCCATTTCCCAACTGACCAGCCTCCAGGGAACAAACTCATATTGAGGAACATCTGGGCATCCAGGGACAAAAACTTGATAGGCCTAAACTATATGACAGAATGCATGGAATTTGGTGGGGCAGCTATAGGGGGTGCAGATAGGGGAGAGGGTCTAAATATGATTAGGATGTATTATATGAAATGCACAAAAATTCAATTGAAAAGAAAATGATGTATAGCTTGCCTATCCTGTTTTTCTCTCAAATTTGAATTAAATGGTCCTTGAGTTTCCTTTAATTGGTTTCAAAATTCTTTTATCTATGATACTAAGAAACTACAAAAGAAGCCATGTGTCTCCAACAACTGTGGGACAGAGAAAAAACCCTTAGACTTGGAGACAGATGACTTGGCCTGTCTATGAGGGAAGAGATGGAGATAGGAAACTGAGTCACAATGACCTAAGACAGGCGTGGGTACCTGGAGCCAGTGTCCTTATCATCCTAACCCACACAGGCCTGTTCCACACTTTATTTTCCAACTCTAAGCCCTAACTCAGGTTGTCCATTAATGTGCTTTTCAGCACTGGGCAGCCAGTGCAATAACTCAATGGTACAACACTTGCCCAACATGCATGAGACTGCATTTGGTCCCCAGTAACGCAAAAAATAAATTACCATAATACTCTTCAGTGGGAAAAGTAACCAAGACCATGGACCGCGTGTTTATAACTCAAATATAATGGCTTAAAGTAAGAACCATCCAGAAGTGCGTGAATATAGCTGTGTGCATAATACATGCACTTTGCTTTTGTGATATGATTTCATAGTAATTGATAGTAAGAACTTTTGCACACATGACTTCATACACATCCCATACAAATGAGTGAGTTTGTGGTACTGGCTTTTCTGAAGTTTTATAGATGAAGAGCCTGAGGCTCCAAGAGGCCCAAGGTCACAGCAGGTAAAGAAAATACCTTGGATTGGTGGTTTGGGTCCAGAGTTCAAATGCTGCAAGCCTTCTTTGGAGTTTTTTTGAGGCTCTCTTTTACTAAGTTTCATATACTTGTGGGCTCTTTTGCCCCATCACAGATGGGCTTCACAAATGCAAGCTGTCAATAGTTCAACAAAGCTGAATTCCATAGGAACCAGGCCATGCTTGGATTGGTAGACCCTAGTAAAGAGCTTCATGGGAAGATCACTGGGCCGGGACCTGGTATGGGAAGGAAGAGGTAATGTAGGAAATACGGAAATAGAAAGGGGCCAAAAGACAGTGTGCTGTCTGAAATACCACATAGTGATTGTTGAATTAGGAGTCCTTTATTGATCGCTGGTGGTCAGAGAAGGGGCTAATGCCCAAAAGAACTCTTGACTCAGAGGAGAAGCAGAGCAGGTGTCGCTTAGGACTGTCTTCTGATCAGTGAGCTATAGACAGATGCCTTCTTCCCGATCTTGGTTGCACCTGCTTGCCTAGGATCATCACAAACATGTTGACTGCTGACCCTCCCCTAGAAAGGAGGGACAGAGAGAGTCAGCCCCACCTCCCCACCAACCAGTGGGTTCTAGTAGCACGAGGGGGAGGGATTAAGGGTATATAAGTGGAGGAAGCCTTAGCAGTATCTCTTGCCATTTTGTACAGCTGCTGGGAAGTCAGGATCGATCTATACTTGGTTTGACACTGTCCAGTGCGGCCTGGGGGCCGGGGGGAGTACCACACTCATGTAAGCAAACCCTGACCCACTGCTCTTGAGTAAGCCCAATAAACTCACTGGTTTCCCAGACTGCAGTTTGGTGAAATTGTACCCTGGTTTGTCGTAAGGACCAAGGGAGGAGGGGGTCAGATGTCATTTGTGCCTCCCAGAAGGAATTTTAGCAGCAGAGGGTTTATAAAGTTTAAACCACAATTACATTATGGCAGGGGCAAAACCAACAACCATAGTTACATCAAATCACCATAGTTACACCAGATCTGTAACAGGTCAGTTAACAAAGAGGTTTTCAGCTAACAAAAAATTTTGATTAGAAAACAAACAAGTTTATCAGAATTGTAGAAACAATGGGCTCCATGGACATGTGGGCATAGCTGGGAGGGAGGATGTGCTATCTGGACATGCTACTTGGCTATTCTAAGTTTCCCAGTATTGTAGAAACAATATCCTCCCTGAAACTGCCTGCATGAGATGTTCTGCCTGGATGGCAGCAGTGGGAACGACTGAGCAAAAGCACAAAGTAAAGCAAAAGTCAGAGCAAAATAGAGTCGGTTTTGCCATTTTATTGTCCATTTACTCAACTAACCACAAACATCGCCAGATATTGAGGAAAGTCCTGGAGACTGGATGGAGAGCTTCTACTTCACTTTGGGGCCATTTGCAATGTAGGGCTGTGCTGGGTTTGGGGATATGCTCTTTTTCAGGGGTCAGTAAGGCTCTTGTTGGTTCTGTCTGAGAGGGTGTGCAGAAGGGAATGCTGGGGAGCATCCTTTAGAAATTACTCTAGACTTTTATGTCTCATAAGTAGCTGGAGGTCTGGAGGCCTGTTTAGCACTTCTCTGACTGGAGTGAGAGACAGGCTATGAGTCTAGTTGAGGTGAGAGACAGTGGTTTCTGTGGGTGGAGTAGGGAGGTTGTGGTCAGTGAAAGGCTGTTGTCAGGGTGCAGCACTCTGGCTGCTCCTCTTCAGCAGCCCTCTCTGTTGGACCATCACCTCCTCCTCCTCCCCCTCCTCGCTTTTAGCTATTCCCCCTCCTCCTCCTCTTCCTCTTCCTTTTCCTCTTCCCTCTCTTCCTCTCCTTCTCTTTCCCCCCTCCTCCTCCTCCCCTTCCTCCTCCTTCTCCCCTTCCTCCTCCCTCTCCTCCTCTTCCTCCTCCTATTTCCCGTTTCCCTCCTCTTCCTCCTCCTCCTCCTCCTCCTCCTCCTACATCTCCTTTCCCTCCTCTTCCTCTTCCTTTTCCTCTTCCTTCTCTTCCTCCTTCTCTTTCCCTCCTCCTCCATTCCTCCTCCTCTTCCTTCTTCCCTCCTCCTTTTCCTCCTTTTCTCCTTTTAAAAATTAGAATGTTTTTGAAGTCAAGATACAAAGTAATGGAATTCATTATGGCAGTTTATATATGCTTTTTAAAATTCATCCTCCTCTATTGCCCTCTAGTCCCCTCCACCCCTTTGCTAGTCTCCTTCCTTCTCCTCAATGGCATCCTTCTGCATTCATGCCATACATATACATATACATACACATACACATATACATATACATATACATATACATATACATATACATATTCTGTTTCATCTCTTTTTTCCTGCCCTCCTTCCCTTAAGATCTCTTCTTCCCCTTTCGTGGTCCCTTTTCTAATTTCACTACCTACATCCATCCACCTGTACATATACATATATATATACACATTAAAATCTAAGTTTCATATATGAAAGAAAACATGCAATATTTGTCTGAGTCTGGCTTATTTAGCTTAACACAGTGATTTTCAGTTCCATTTATTTTATTTCATTTTTCTTTAATGCTGAATAAAATTGTGGTGTGTCTATGTACCACATTTTCTTTATCCTTTCCTCTGTTGATGGGCAGTTAAGCTGCCTCTGTTCTTAGCTATTATGAATAATATGTCTGGTACATCTACCAAATGCCCTATCTTCCCATTTACAGCTCTCATTGGAACTCTTCCTGTAAATACTTAAAAAGTGAAATTGGTAATAACACTGAGATGGTGCATGCATCTCTCATTTGTATGTATCTGATTATTACTAGTCATCATCGGTTGCACTTGGATCCTTGGCAGCTGTGTATGTCTATAAAGTTATCGGGATTTCTTGTCTATAAAGTTATTGGGATTTCAATGGTAATGTTTATCACCTCTACTAATTAACATGACATAAATTTTTATGCTTCCTCCTCAGATATAATTCATTTTTAAAAATTTGTTGATTTTTTTTGTGTGTATATCACACAGAACACCCCAAACCATCTTATTCAACTATACACCCACTTCCCAGATGGCACCCTCCCATAGCCTCCCTCCCCCCACTTGAGCCCTTATACTCTGTTATCCTTGCTTCTGTCTGCTGTGTTGTTGACACCCCAGCCATTCCCCGCTACTAGTCAGCCTATCTAGAGGGCTTTGTTTTAGGAAGGTCAGCTGTTTCTCATCTAGCAGCAATCAGTTGTCAATATTCCTTTAGATAAGATTGAGGTCTGCTGTTCATTTTTCCACTTCTGAAAAAAAAAAGTGAAATTGGTGAAGACTCTTGATTCAACATTGTACCAGGAGCTCTGTGACAGATGCCTGAACATCACTGGAAATGTGAAGAGACACAGGATTGTGTTGAAAGACATACTTAGATACATATCTTGGGATGCAAAGGTATAGGACGGGATAGGCGAGAGGGAGTGGAGTGAACATCTCTTGGGGGATACACAGCCTCTAATCCTGCTTTCTACAAAGTGTGGGTTCAAAACCAAAGGTACTTTGGTCAAGTGGGTGTGTGAACTGGGTTCCTCTGCTCCTTGTTCCCTGAGACAGCCTGCCCTCTAAGAAAAAGCTCAACAAAACTCTCAAAATTTGAGAGTGCTGAAAGGCTACCTTGACCAGGGCTCCTGAGCATCAAACTTACTCATCACTTCCTTCCCCCAGTTTCTTCCATCAGTGGTGAGTGATAGACCCACTTACAGGTTGGTAAGTTCCTGGAACTTTATCTCTTTCCTGTTATTCCACTCGCATTCTCCAGCAGGTACATTTGACTTTATTATTAAAACTAGATGCTTGTTCTTTCCTGGACAGTCACTAGCTTCCTCTAGAGTTGGTCACCCAATGGAAAAATTGAACAGCAAAGTTGTATCTAGAGTAGAAGGGGAAAAAGTACAAGCTATCTAGGCTCCAATTGACAGCTATATTAATAATAGTCATTACTTTACTGCATAAGCATATATTGAATGCCTTATACATGTACATACACTGAATCCTTATACAAAGGGACTGTGGAAGAATCTGGGGTCTCCATTTTCAAGAAGTTGCAGCTGTGTGTTCCTAACTAGGGTAAATGCCAGAATCACATGGAAATGTTTTCAAAACCTCACTCTAGAGTGGACTTAAGCCCACAGATTGGATCTGTCTGAGTCTTTGTACAGAGTCACTTGTATCCATGCCTATGGATGTAACTTCCAACAACCTTGCTGGAAGGCAAGGTTGAGTATAGCCATTGCCACAGAGAAGATTAAGCAATATGTTCTGAGAATGTCCTAAGGAAGAGGTTAATAGAAAATGGACATTAAGGACCTCCTGGTCCAATGGTAGCACATCTGACTCCAGAGAAACTACATTAAAATATGCTCATGGCCTACTGCCCCCAAGAGCACAAATTTGAAGAGTAATGACAGACCTTATTCTTTGCCTTCAGTGACAGAACACTAGGGCTCAAGGCCAGGTTCAAGCAATTTGATGGGGCAGTGACATAAGACACGCATTTGTGTAACAATGACAGAAGATAGTGTGAGAAATGCCATTGCAATCAGGACAGAGTATTACTGTACTTTGATTTGCATACTGGGGAGCTTCCTGGAACTCTTCTTTCGGCTGTAGCTTAGAGGATAGGGAGGAGAAGAGCCAGGGCTCTAGGCTCCCCCGATAGCATGGCAAAAGCCCAGAGGCAGGAGGATAGAGAGGAGAGTGCTAGAAGAAGGCCCATTGTCTTTTGTGTTGGATCCGAGGGGCTTAGAATGGAATGAAAATAGAAAAATTGGTGGATATCAGATGACTTTGAAAGTCTCACTGAGGTGCTTTCACTTTATTTATGAGCATTCATAAACAATAAGAAGCCAAGAAGGGTTTCAACGTCCCCTGAATAACCTGGTTGTGAAAAAGAGGTGCAGCAGGAAGACTCTATGGATTAGAGGCCATTACAGTGATGACATCATGGGTGTGCGATGGTGAGAATGAGCTGGAGAGATGCTGGGAAGGCAGAGTCCACAGGACCTGGCTCTAGGAGCTTAGAGAAAGGAAGGAGCAGGGTTTCAGGAGGACTCAGCCTTGGAGTGTGGGTCATAGGGGAAAGTTGGCATCAGTACCAAAGCAGGGGTAAGAAATCAGCTTTCTGTCCACCAGGAAGGGATGAGATAGATGAGGGAGGAGTCTTCAACCTGCATGCTAAGTGGGTTTTTCTTATTTGGACCTTTCCCGCTAGATTGGTGCCACCTGGAAGTTAGCAACTGTACCTTATTTCTTTGTATTGTCTAACTAGTGAAGAAGGTAGTATACATTGCATTCATTCCTTCAATTTGGTATTTATGGGCTAAATATTTAAAGGCCAGTTTATGTGCCAGCAGCTGTTGCCAGGATACAGAACTATCTTTTGTCTAGTGGGTTTTTAGGATCTAGACTTCATTCTGACTGTGCTTATTTAAGGATGTGATTATTGTCTTGAAGGCAGTTTCATCTAGTAGTCACTGAGAAGCACAGAACCAGCCCTCTCCAAAGTGAACACATCAGCTGGGATAACCTCATGGTGCCAGCAGCCTCATGGCACAGTCATTACATACTGTGAAGCCTTCTCAAAGTATGGAAATCCTTCCATGTAGGAACTTCTGACCAATCACTGATAAGCAGTCTATGTCTCATAAGTGAGGGAATGAGTAATGAACTCAGAGTCCAAGGAATCTTGTTCTGGGTGGCAATGTCAAATAGCCAGCTGGAAGTCACTTTCCCATAGGCATCATAACCTTCCTTTCTACCCCTGCAGGGGTTGCTGCCATCTCCACTGCTGTGTCTTCCGCACTGTTCCCTCCTGATCCACTTTTCCTTGCTCTCCTCCAACTCCCCTGTCCACCTCTGGGTACATATCCTCTTCTCTCAATAGAAGGAGGGGCCCTCATAGGCAAATGAGCCAGGGGAGTGGGGAAACAGGGTAGAACTGGATGTCTGTTGCCGGCCAAACCAGACCTGTCTGAGGAGACTTTTGAGGTGTCTGCGGAACTTGACCCCAATAAAGACATAGAGCACTGGGTTGAAGCAACAGTGGGAGAAGGCCAACGTGCGGCAGATGAGCAGAGCAACGTCCAGTTGCTGGTTGACCTCACAGCTCCGGATGACCCAGGTTTTCAACAGTGTCTTCAGGAAGAGTATAACATTGTAAGGAGCCCAGCTGAGGAAGTACGCTGCCACGATGGTGAAGATTAACCTGACTGTCCGGTGCCGCTTTCTGGACCTAGAGCGGAACAAGGTCCTGAGAATCTGCACATAGCAGAACAGGATGATCCCCGCTGAGAGCAGAAAGAAGATGTTGTGTTGGTAGACTGAGGCTAGGAATGCCTGAAGTTCAGAATAATCACAGTCTGTGGAAATCACCTTGTGGAAGATGGCATCAGGGATGGAAGACAGGATGCTGGCTGCCCACACAGACAATGTCACCAGCACGCGGCAACGGAAGGTGTGAATGCCGAATGTGGAGAGGGGGCTCACCACCGACAGATAGCGATGGATGGTCATGATGGTGAGGAAGAAGATGCTGCTGTAGAGGCTGATGGAGAAGATCATGTTGAGGAGCTTGCAGAGGAAGTCGCCCAGCATCCAACCCCAGTGCAGTGCTGAGATCCACACAGGTAGTAGGCAGGAGAACATGAGGTCTGAGAGGCACAGGTTGAGGATGAAGACATTGGTGAGTGATTCTAGGTTCTCATACTTCACCAGGACCCATAACACCAGGCTGTTACCTATCAGGCTGAGGAATAACACCAGAGAGTACAGGATGGTGATGGAGAAGGTGGCAAGGAGGACATTCTGGCTTTCACACAGAAGGCTTTCTGGATCATATTCATAAGTGCTAGACTCAAAGACTCCCGAGGACTCCATCTGGACCCAGGCATCAGGGATACTGAGAGTATCTGAAATGGTAGACATGTGGGATTTAAAGCCATATGGTTGGAATAGAGATGACTAGGACCCATACTACCAGAACAAAAGGCTCACAACCAGCTTCCATTGGTGAACTGTTTATAACAAGATAGAGAACTCACACCACAACATTGTCAGTAAGCATCATGATTAGTTTGGCAAACATTTTTCTTTTCTATAGCAGGACTTTCTTGGTGAAAGATGCATGATATTGATTTACATTCTGTCACAAGCCTCATTTCTCCTTGCAAGACTGGCCACTAAGCAGTCTTAAGATAGCAGTTTCCTAGTAGATGTAGGAGAAAGAGAAATGGAACTGGACTCAAAGACTTGAGATCATAGTGGGCCCTGCCATTGTGCCCTCAGACAACTTGTTTAACCTCTCTGGACCTTAGTTCCTTGTGTGCAAAAAGGCTAATGACACCAGAGTCATTCATTCAATGATTACACAAATGCTCAGAGAGCATTTACTGCATTCCCTCTTTCCTCCCTCCCTTCATTTCCTCCTTTCCATGCTCCCCACCCCCCAACTGCATAAATCCTGATGGCAAGATTGTATTAAGAAATATGCTCTTTCTTGGAATAACTTGGAAAAATGAGGGCACAGACAAAGCAAAACAATGCCAAACATACTGTTGAAATTCTGGAAGACCAAATCCTTGCTAACACAGGATTAATTCTCAGTCCAGAAAGCTCTATTAGTTGAGAGTCAAGCAGTTAAGAAAACTGTACTAAGCCAAACTGACAGAACTCTCTTGGCCAGCTGATTAACACTTAAAGTGGCAGGTTACAAAATTAATCTACAAAAGTCTATAGCCTTTCTATATACTAATAACAAGCAATCAGAGAAAGAGTACATGGAAAAGACATTAAAGTCCTCTACAAAGAAATTTTAATTCCTTAAAGGAAGAGATTGAGGAAGACATCAGAAGATGGAAAGACCTCCTATGCTCATGGATTGGAAGAATTAATATTGTGAAAGTGACCACCCTATCAAAAGCCATTTGTAGATTCACTGCAATGCCAACCAAAATCCCCATGACATTCTTCACAGAATTGGAAAAAACATCCTAAGATTCATATAGAAGCACAAAAGACCTCAGATAGCCAAAGCAACCCTGATCACTAAGAGCAATGATGGGGAGATTACTATTCCAGATTTTAAACTGTGTTACAGAGCTATAGTCATTAAAAAAACATGGTACTGGCACAAAAATAGATCTGTAGATCAATGGAACAAAATTGAAGACCTGAATGTGAGTCCATGCAATTTCAGCCACCTGATATTTGACAAAGGGGCCAAGAATATTCACCGGAAGAAAGACAGCATCTTCAGCAAATGGTGCTGGCAAAACTGGATCTCCAACTGTAGAAGAATGAAACTAAACCCCTATCTTTCACCTTGCACACAAGTCAACTCCAAATGGATCAAAGACCTCAATGTGAAGTCTGGAACTCTGAATCTGCTAGAGGAAACATTGGCAACAACCTACAAGATATAGGTGTAGGAAAGGATTTTCTAAATCAGACATTAATTGCTCAGGAAACAAGGTCAAGAATCAAGAAACAGGACTGTTGGGGAACCCTGCTGTTAGGGTTGCAGTTTCTCCATGTCCGGATAGCCCTGAGCGGCTTGGCGCCTGATGGAGAGACTCCCCCTTTCAGCAGGGGGCCTCCTGCTCTCTTCCTGGCTCACTTTGAAAGTGCCGCCAAGTGAAGATGCCTGGCCTTATCTGAAACATGGCCTTTAGCATAGTTACCTGAAGTAAAAACTACCCGCAGGTTTTTTCTATATGATAATCAGGCACTGTCTGACAGTCTGGAAGACAGAAGCCCACTGCCACATGTAAATAAAGCATACTATGAGCACCTATCAACTGAGGCTTTTGCTACTGCCTCCACACTATAAATTCTCTACTTTTCCCACTAATAAATGGAGCTGTATCACTGAATCTGGCTGGAGCTGTATCACTGAATCCGTTTAGAGCTGAGCTGTTTCATTGCACCTGGGACCAGCCTGTGATCAGTCTTCCCGGAAGAGCTGTCTTCTGTCAGCACTCACTGGCTGTCCTGACCATGTCCGCCCGCTCCTGTCCTCCCTGCCCGTGTGGATCGGTGGCCAACGACCCGCGAGCACAGGGAGATCCTCCCACAGCTTGGAGCAGAGCCCGCCTGAGCCCGCCTCGGAGAGAGAGAGAGAGAGACCCGCCGCCCTGCACAGGACCTCATTAAACCAAAAAGCTTCTGTACATCACCAAGGAAGTGAAGAGAAAACCCACAGAGTGGGAGAAAATCTTCACTAGTGACACATCTGACAGAGGTTTAACATCCAGAGTATATAACAAACGCAAGAAACAAAGAATCAAGAAGAAAAGAATCAAGAAAGCAACCCAATTAAAAGATGGGCTAAGGAGCTGAACAGAGAGTTCTGCTAAGAAGCTTCTTAAAAGGTGTTCAACATCATTAGTAATTAGGGAAATGCAAATTAAAACCACTTTAAGATTTCATCTTACCCCAGTCAGACTGGCTAAAATCAAGAGAACAAATGATACCAAATGTTGGACAGCATGTGGAGAAAGGGGAACTCTCATCCATTGCTGGTGGGATTGCAAACTTGTTGAACCCCTGTGGAAAGCAGGGTGGAGAACCCTTAAAAAACTAAAAAATCGAGCTGGGCGTGGTGGCATACACCTGTAGTCCCAGCACTTGGAAGGCAGAGGCAGGTGGATCTCTGTGAGTTCAAGGCCAGCCTGGTCTACATAGTGAGTTCCAGGACAGCTGGGGCTACAGGGAGACCCTGTCTCAAAAAAATAAAACAAAACAAAACAAAAACACAACAAAAAAAACCTAAAAATGAACCTACCATTTGACCCGGTTATGCCACTCCTTGGTATATATCCAAAGAACTCATTCTATTGCAGAAACACTTGTACATCCATGTTTTTTTGCTGTGCTTTTCAAAATAGCTAAGAGATGGAAGCAACCTAAGTGTCCCTCAACTGATGAGTGGATAATGAAAATGTGGTACATAATGGAGTTCTACTTAGCAGTAAAGAAAGATGAAATCATGAAATTTGCAGGTAAATGGATGGAACTAGAAACTGTCATACTAAGTGAAGTAACACAGACTCAGAAAAACAAATGGTATATATTCTCCCTCATATGTGGATCCTAGCACCAAACACTTATAAGTGAGTATGTATCCAGACATAACTATAGGAACCAGGATAATGAATATGAACCAGGGAGGTAAAGGAAAAGAAAGAACCTGAGAGAGAAGAACAGTAGGAAACAAGGTGTTACTAAGGGAAGTATGAATAAAAATGGTGTTATTTAAATGGGAGGGGGAGGGATGTTTATACAAGGAACCTAGGGGATAAAGGGAAAGAAGGAGCTCAAGAGAGGTGGGAGCACAGGAGAAGGGTATTATTAAGCAAGCAATGGGAAAAATGGAAAATGGGGGCACCCAAATTGGGGAAATCATGGTGGAAAGGTTAGACAATGTGAAAGATAAATAAAACCTAGCTAGTTTTAAAAAACCAGAGGGAACCATATTAGTCCAACAACCTACTGACAAATTATACATACAACTAGTTCAAGGAACAAAATATTTGTCTAGTCAAGGTTTATCTGAGAACATTTGGTTTTTGCATAAGATTTATCTACATAGTGCACGGTAATTAAAAGTAGCAGACTGGGCTGGAGAGATGGCTCAGTGGTTAAGAATACTGACTACTGTTGCAGAAGACCCGAGTTCAAATCCCAGCACCCACATGGCAGCTAACAACTGTCTGTAACCCCAGTTCCAGGGGATCCGACAGCCTCTTCTGTCCTCCATGGGCATTGCACGACACGGGTGCACTTAACCTACATGCAGGTAATACACACATACACATAAAATAAAAATAATAAATAAAATATAAAAAAGTCCTGTAACTGTGGACTTGATCAGGGAGGCCATGCAGACCCCACCAGATGGACTTTAACCAGTCTACCTAAAGGAGGGTCAACATAGTGGAAACATTTCCTCCATGCCTCCAAGTGAAGCCAGCCATGGTTGAGCAGGACCCTGACTTATCTTCACATAGATGGAACTGGTAAAAGGAAGGAGCCAGGGGCTCTTTCCAAGCCCATGTGACCCCTGAAGAACAGATTCTCAAATGACCTTAAGAGTAAAAATAAATTGGTTAATTTGGGCCAACTGTATGGTCTTAAACACCCAATAGGAAAGTATAACCAAAGATTGAAGTGATCTGTATATTTCTTTAAGAGTTCATGTGTACAGCTAAAGGCTACATAACAAGAAACAATGCCAGACAGGAGATACCTTCCTTTGAGTTGTTGGCCACGGTGGCCCTAGAGACTCCCAGACAGTAACCCAGCATAGAACTAGGAAAATGAACAGCTGACCCCAATCTTATCTAAAGGAATGTTGGCAACTGATTGCTGCTAAATGAAGAAGAGCTGATCTTTCTAAAACAAGGGACTCTAGATAGGCTGACTAGACTCAGCGGATGGACTTCCACTGGGAAATGGCTGGGGGCACTGACAACACAGTGGACAGTAACAGGGATGACAGAGTATATGGGCTCCAGTGGGGTGGGGGGCTATGGAAGGGTGTCATTTGGGATGTGGGTAGATTGGGATGTTCTGTATGAAATACACACAAAATTTAAAAAAAAAGAAAGAGGAGACTGGCAAAAAAGAGAAAACGTGACATATACACAATGAATTTTATTCACTCATGAAGAATGAAATTATGCCATTTGCTAGAAAATGGATGCAATTGGAGATAATCATAACTAACCAAAATAAGCCATACTTAGAAAGACAAATGTTGCATATTTTCCCCCTTGAAGAACCAAGGGGTAATGAGAGCTACTGGAAAGTGAGGGAGGGGTAGAAATCACATATGCTGCCCATATATTCTGTTCAAATGTTTGGTTTTCTTTGAACCATAAAAATGTGCTGGTGAGAGGGATGCTGGATAAGTTAACCAGCCTCCAGTGGATGGTCTCACACCAACGGACATTTTGGAACATGAACTTGACTTGATAGACCTTAACATATGACAGAATTGATGAAATCTGGTGGGCACTATGGGGGGTTCAGGTAGGAGAGGGGGTTTAAAAGTGATCAAGATGTATGAAATAAAAAAATAAAAATTCAATAAAAATTGAACTGAAATTCAGTTCTTTTAAATATCACCAGCACATTTTTTAAATTGAATTTTTATTTTTTTATTTCATACAATAAATGTCTGCCCCCTTCAGGGGAGACAGAGCTTAGTGTTTGAGCCTGCCACATTATGCCTGCTCAGATAAACAGTCAACACTTTATAGAAGAATACAATTTAGAATCTCCACAGTACAATCATAGTGTTCAGGATACAACTTGCTCATTATATGAATAAATAAGAACTCAAGGCCCATACTCAATAGACAAGACAACCAACAAACCAACTCTGAGATGAGCCGTTGCTGTTACAGCTGTGCTCAAGAAAATAGGGCTGGAAGTGGTGGTACACAGAGGAGATTAGTTTGAAACCAGCCTGGGCTACATAGTGAGTTCCAGGCAAGCCTGGGCTCCAGTGTGAAACCCTGTGTCAAAGGGGTAAAAAAAACAAAATTAGAAAATAAAAATTTAAAAAGTACATTCATACTTAATGGAATGATAAGAAATATCATTTAGAAAAAAACAAGTTATATGAAAGACCCAGAAAAAGCTAGATGTCAGTAAGATGTCTTATAAAGCTCTAATTATTTGTTGAATGAATTAATAAATAAAAAGGCAAATTATAAAATGCTGCAAACCAAATAATAATAAAGATACCACATATCAAACTTTATGGGAAAGAACTAAAGCAATGGTTAAATAGAAACACATAGCTTCAAATGCTTTATGAGAAAGAATAAAGTTCAATGGTATAAGAAGCAGTAAAAAGGGCAAAAGATGATCAGTAAAAAGAAGAAAGGAATAATAAAAAATAAAAAAATAAAATGAAGAAATCAGAAAATAAAAGAGACAAGATGAACAAACAAATTGGTTGTTTGAAAAAGATTTAAGTTAATAAAATCAGCCCCTACCAATGCTTATGCAAGAAACCCTGACAATCTCAGTGGATGCCCCCTCTCCCCAAAGTCATTAAAGTAGGAAGGAGATCAGTTGGGAAGAAGAAAGTGTTTAGAGGCAGATGTAGGGGGGAAAAGGAGGGTAGTGGGTGTGTGCGCATGCATGTATGAGTGTGTGGGTAATATACAAACATTGTATGTATTTATGAAGTCATCAAAAATTAATAAAAACATGGATTGAGAATGTGGCTTAGTTGGTAGAGTTCTTCCCTAACTGGGTTCTATTTCCATACCACATAAATGGGGCTTGGTGGTGAACCCCTGTAATCCCAACGCTTGGGAGGTGGTTGAGGCAGGAGGATCAGAAGTTCAAGGTCATCCTTGGCTACCTTACATGTTTGAGGTTAGCCTCAGTTATATCCAACCATCTATTAAATAATAAATACTACTAATAATAAATATTAGCTAGATTGACTAAGATCAAAAGTGAGAGATTACAGTCAGGAGTGGTAGCTCGCACATATAATTCCAACACTTAAGAGGCTGAGACAGACTGTTGTGGGTTCGAGGACAACCTGGGTTACATTGTGGGTTTTAGGACAGCCTCGGCTACCAAGTAAGATTCTGCCTCTAAAAACAAAGAGAACAAAAAACCAAGGGGAGAGAGAGAGAGAGAGGGAGAGAGAGAGAGAGAGAGAGAGAGAGAGACAGAGAGAGAGATTGATTGTTTGAGATTATACACTAGCAACAAAAGGAACCAAAGACTTCTTGCTATAGATTTTACAGATTTGAAGCATAGCAAGGAAATATTTTTTGGGAGTAGGGGGGCAGCAGGTTATTTGAGAGCAAACAGACCACTGGGCTGCCTCTACGGGAGCAGGGAAACAGCAGAGTGCAGGGGAAGTCAGACACCTATAAAGGCAGTCAGGTGGTTGGGTAAATTCCCATGACATAGGCTGGGCCGTCTAGCTCAGGATTGGTTGGTTTTGCAAGGAAATATTTTTACCAACTTTATATAGACAAAGTCAATGGCTCATACACAATGGATGGATTTCTTTAAATACAATGTGGAAAAATCTGAAGAGCGCTATGTTTATAATAGAAATAGAAATATAATTGAACTGTAAAACAATTGCCAAAAGATAACTCCAGAACTAGAGTATTTTTCTAAGGAATTTTTTCAAACATTTGAGGACGAATTAACACTAATCTTATACAAACACTGAAATAGGAGATAGATCCCTTTCAAACTGCTTTATGAGGGCATAGCCCTGAAAGCAAAAATCAGATAAAAATTACAATAAGCAGGGGCTGGAGAGATAGTACAGTGACTGTTCTTGCAGAAGACCCGGGTTCGAATCCCAACACCCACATGGCAGGTAACAACTGTCTGTAACTCCAGTTCAAGGGGATCCAACAGTCTCTTCTGGCCTCCGTGGGCATTGCAGGACACAGGTGCACTTACCTACATGCAGGCAATACATGCGTACACATAAAATAAAAATAATGAAAATTACAATAAACAAAAAATACAGACCAGTATTCTTTATAAACAAAGATATACAAATTCTTCCTTTTTGGTTTGACAGTGTCTCATGTATCCTAGGCTAGTTTTGAACTCATTATGTAATCTAGGATCTTGAACTTCCAATCTTTCTGTCTCTACCTTGAGACTGCCGAGATTCCAGGCCCATGCCATTACACAAGGCTATATGGTGCTGGGGACTAAATCTGGAACTTTGTGCATGCTAGGCAAACACCCTACCAACTGAGTTACCTTTTCACTCCAACACTAAAACTCTTACCAAAATATAAGGCAAATTAAATTCAGCAATGCATTTAAAATATTTATTTATTCAACTCATTTATCTATGTATTTGTGTGTGTATTTGTGTGCATGTTTGTGTGTGTGTACTTGTCATGGTGTACGTGGAGGTCAAAGTACAATTTGGGGAAGTCAGTCCTCTCCTTCTACCATGTGGGTCCAAAGGGATAGAATTCAGGTTGTTAAGCTTGGTGGTGCATTTACCCACTGAGCCATCTCTCTGGCCCTAGTAATATAATTAAACTAAGTGGGGTTTATCCTAGAAATAGGTTGGGCAAATATTTGAATGCTAATCAATCTAGATCACCATATAAACAGAGCAGAAGTAAAACCTACATGATCTTTTTTGTTAAATGCACAAAAGTATTTGACAAAGTTCAACATTCACTCACAATATAAGTGCTCAATAATTATAAAAGGGATATTGGACATCCATGAGACTACACAATTTCCTTATTGATTATCTACTTGGATTTTTCAGAGGCAATCCTGTCCTGTGCCAGGAAAACTGTGGGATTCCAGGGAAAAGAGTGGCAAATTTCCAATCTTTCTGAGTAACATCTTTAAGCTGAAGCTATTTAGAGAAGTTGCTTGTGTATTGGAGTCTGCAGACTTTGTCCTGGGCTTACTAGTACGTGATGATTGTGGAGAGATGGAATGTTGCAAACAAAGAGCCATAGTTATCTGTAGTGTCTTGTAGTAGCCACTTCCTATCAGATTCTGTATTTGACCTAATATCCCAGACTGTATCAGCCCTAATGTTATGACACACCATCTCAGAACCATACAGGAAATCCCATGACCTGCTGTAGCTCCCTACCTGAGGACCCCAGCAATGTATTTAGTCAATACATTGATTCATGACTTTCCTTTGTTCTGTGATTATAACAGTTCAAGTAGAATCTGAGTGTAGTAGTTCAGGCCTGTAATCTCAACACTTGGGAAGTGGAGGCAGGAGGATCAAGAGTTTAAGGCCATCCTCAACTACATAGGCAATTCCAGGACAGTTGGGGCTACATGAGACCCTGTCTCAAAAAAGATGGGGGTGGTTGAAAAGATGGCTTAGCAGTTAAGAGTACTTGCTGCTCTTCCAGAGGATGGGAGTTCAGTTCCCAGCACCCACATGGGGCAGTTTACAACTGCCTGAAATTACAGCTTTGGAAATCTGATGCCCTTTTCTCATCTCTATGGGCACCTATACTGACATACACATATGTATGTGTACATAAACATGTCTTTGTCCCTGGTATACCAGGTCTTTCAAGATAACTTGACTCTGTGTTATGGCCACTCATATTTGGCACAGAATAAACTGTTATTTCCTTTAAATCAGAGTTACTATTTTATGTCAACATATATAGAAGTTTGGTTCCCCTTTGCCTGTCATCCCTCCTCCTTACCATCCTATGGACTAGCTCAACTTTAAGGGAGTGAATTTCATTTTGTGGCCCATGAGATAATTTAGATTGAGAAACACATCTAAGTTATGCAACCATGAAAAATAACGAAAATTTATAAAAAGACTTGGAATCAAACAAATCCCTCTACTTCTTCAGGAGGAGGAAAACATTATGTACCAACTCTATTCAAACTAAGGAGAACAGACTGCATTCTCTAACAGTGCAGATTCTTGGGAAGCCCCAGATGAAAGAAATTTGAGGCAGACCTTAGAACTCTGAATTTTTTCTAGCCTGCCAAGTAGTTCTGGTGCCCATCAAAGGTCAAGAACCCCTAGTGTAGGCTATTAAAATAAAAGGAAGACATAGGTTTCAAATGTCTGCAAAGAAGCTCACCTGAGTCCACACCTCTTTCCATGTTGTATGCCCTTCAAGTCTGTATGCCCTCGTTTCCTTCCTTTTCGTCTTCCAGTGCTGGGGCCTCACACATTGGAGGCACTCATCCTACCACCAAGACAGAGTCCCAGTAAGTTGTCTAGGCTTGCCTCAAACTTCCTCTTCATTAAAGTAGGTAATAATGAGTGTTGTGGGAAAGATCAGGCAGGAAGCAGGTATTTTATTTAGGCTGCAGCCTGCAGGCTCAAGTCTCAAAATCTGAACCTGGAAGGGAAGTAGCACCTATCTTTTATACCTTTAGGCCCTGGGGTATAGTGAGAAGGAAACTTATGTATCAATTGGCTGTCAGTAAGATCTGAAAACCAAGCAAATTACTATAACTTAAAAAAAAGAAAAACATGCTAAAAAAAAAAAAATCACCTGTCTGAAAGTCATTGCAGAAGTCTCTGTCTGAGACAAACAGAATTGAAGTTTTGTCAGGACAAAAGGTCAGTGGTTCTAGCTAGCTTGGTCAGGATTCTAGTCATAAACTATTCAGCTGAAGTTTGCTGACACAGAGAGAAAACAAGAGTTAAAATCCATATTTTCCTTAAATATTCCATCAGGCTCTACATCAAGAGGATTCATACAGCAAGTGCTAAACATATGTTTATTCCCTAAATATGAAGGCCCACTTTGAAACTGAAGTTTTTATGTTTCCTTATGTTTGGTTTCAGTAGGAGCAACTCTAATCTTCAACATAAATCTCTAGAACACTGGTCCGACATCAACTGGGGGCATTATGGTCTAATTGGCTAGCCATTGTTAACAAGATGCATGGTTCAGTTTGAGTTGCAGTCCCAAATAAATTGGGAGCAGCCATTGACATCTTGTCACATCAAAGATACTGCAGCTTTCTATGTGTGGTGGTACATGTCAGTAATCCCAGTGCTTAGGAGACAGAAGCAGGAGGATCAGAGCTGAAGGTAAATCTCAGCTACACAGTGAGTTGAAGGTCAGCCTGGGCTACACAAGGCCCTGTCTGAACAAAAAACAAACATACAAGCAATCCCCAAATAAAAGGTATTGCTGCTGCTTGAGGAGCCCCTGGGGATGGCATCTGGGCCTGAATGTGTGGTATATTCACAGGGGTGTCTGCAGTCAAAGAATCAATGAGGGGTCAACCTCCGGTGGCCGTGAAGGCCAAGGATGCCATGAGGAATGGAACGGACGAATCCTGAAGCTTTGTTGATGGTAATGCTTGAGACGTCTCCAGGCAAGTCATCATTAACCAAAATAGGTTTGGGACAGTGGGGGTGGGAGGAGGGGTGCTGAGGTCCCGGCATGGATGTTGGTGTTAGGGTGTTAAATTAATATTGAATTTACTGAAGGTTGTAACAGCTTCAACAAAACCTTTGACAAAGACTAAGAGACTATGCCTTCCCTTAGGAAATACCCACAGAAATACTTACTGGTAAAAAGCCATGGAGTATATAACTTCCCTTTTGATAACTCAGAAAAGGAGACAATGACTGAACACGACAAAACTGGTGAGTGAAATGTCAACAGGAGACTGTGAGAAAGCACACACTCTTTCTACTCCTCGTCTTGTAATTGATCATATTACTAGTTAAACAATTTAAGAAGCCAAGGACAGATAGTGACAACTTTTACTTCAGCTCCCGAACCTCTAAACTACTTGGATAGATTTCTGCATTTCCTTCTAAAATTTCTTCTTGTAAATATAAGCAAACATGTATATCAATGCCCAATGAACTTGTGATCTAGAGGTTGTTTAGCCTCCTCCAAAGTTACCTTAATAGCCTTCTCTTTTGATTTTTACTTCAAAAGTGAGTCAGTCAGATCCACTGGGAATCAAGGGTTAGCCAGGAACAGGAGCAGTTGACCTAAAGAAAGCAACAACTGGTAGAATCTTTAGCAGATAAGATGGATAACTGGTGTAGGATGAAGAGGATTTTTCTAGGTGCCCTTTCAAGTAAGTTTAGGACAGGAAGACTAAACAGGGTGACTCTGATTGGTCTCTTGTGACCCTGATTCTATAATTTCCAAGTGCCTGGGGAAGTTGGGCTCCATACCTGACCAATGGGAGAGCCATGGAGAAAGATGGATTTAGGGAGCTTCCATCCCCATGCCAGACATTGACTCGGTCAGATTTCACAAGAGAACCATGAGGAAATGTCAATATTTGAATTTTATTGATGAGCTAGCACAGGAGGTCAGAGGCCAAAGGCCCTTGTAGCCATACTTAAACAGCAGGGAAATGGTATTCCAGTGGGATTCAGTTTAGCTTTTCTGGCTCTGAAGTCTCGAGTTTCTGGGGCATAGTTTGACTTTGAATGTCAGGTTTCTATCCAAGATTAGGCCTAGGGTTGAAGGTGGGAGCCTCTGAGCCCTGAGGCTAGGGCGCCCTGTCCTATTCTTCTCTCTAGTGCTCTCATAACTACCTGGTGCAGGTGAATGCTCACTACATATGTAGTATATATGCAGGCTAGCATTTCAAGATGTCATTTCAATGCTTTTTGTTTTTACCAGAAAAACTTTACATAAAAAAAACTAACATAACTAACAAAGAACTATTTTGAAACAAAATTAAAACTTGGAGGGATGGCACAACCATCCTGGAAAACAGTTTGGGTATTTGGTAAAAGGTTAAACACACAGCTATATGACCCAGGCATCCCAATCCTCAGTATTTACTGACTCAAGAGAAAAAAAAACACCAAAAAGTCCATGACAATAGCAAATACTTGCTCACAGATGGTGATAACAGCTTTAGTTATAATAGTGCAAAGCTTGAAGCAGACTGAGTGGCCACTAGTGGGTGAATGGATGGGCTAACTGGACTATCCTTAAGGAGAAATATGCTTAGTATTAAAAAGAAATAGACTCCGGATGTGGTGGTGCATGCCTCTAATCCCAGCACTCTGGAGGCAGAGGCAGGTGGATCTCTGTGAGGTGGAGGCCAGCCTGGTCTACACAGAGAGTTCCAGGCCAGCTGGGGTTACATAGAGAACCTTTCTCAAAAATGAAAAGGAAAAAAATAGGGGTCGTGGATATGATTAACATCTACAATCAATTGGCATCATGTGAAGGAGATTATTTCTGATTCTATAAGTGGGCTTAATGATCTAATCAGTCCAAAGAACTTAATGCAGAACTAAAGCTCCTCTGAGGAAGAAGGAACTCTGTCTGTGAACTGCAGAGTCGGCCCCTGCCTGAGGTCCCAGCTGTCTTCCTATGACCTGCCCAACAGGATTTGCTTGGTCAGCTGTGCTGGTTAATGTCAATAGTTAATTTGGTAAGATCTCAAATCACCTGGATGGGAGTCTTACTGCAGGATTACCTAGTTTAGGTTGGCCAATGGGCATGCCTGTGAGGAATTTTCTTGAGTTAACTGAGATGGGAAGACCCACCCCGAACTTGGGCAACATCATTTTATGGGCTGAGTCTTGGACTGGATGAAGATGAGGGAAGGAAGGAGCTGAGGACAAGGATTCCTTGTTCTCTGCTTCTTGACTGTGGCTGCAACATAATCAGCTGTCGGGAGCTCCTGCATTGAGTCCTCCCCATCACAATGGACAGTAACCTGGAGCTGTGAGCCAGAATAAACCCTTTCTCCTCTAAATTGTATTTCTCAGAGTATTTTATCACAGCAACAGAAAAGAAACTAAGGCAGCTCTATAACTGAACAAGATAAGTTCTTAGAGTGTCTATAACCTCTCTCTCTCTCTCTCATCTTGATCATCAATCGATCCATCATCAATCAATTAATATATCTATCATCTATCCAACATCAATCTACTATCAATCTATCATCAATCAAGCTATCATCTATCATCTGTCATCAATCTATCCTCTATCAATCATTAATCAATCTATTAACCTATCATCAGTCAACCAATTATCTATCATCTATCTATCTATCTATCTATCTATCTATCTATCATCTATCTATCTATCATCTATCAATCTATCATCTATCAATCTATCATCTATCATCTATCTATCTATCTATCATCTATCTATCTATCTATCTATCATCTATCTGTCTTGTATCATCAGTCTATCACCTCTCATCAATTTATCGTCATCATCTAGCTGTCCATTTATCTCCTTTATATTACTAGCTCTGTTCCTCTCGTGGAAGCATGACTTTGGAAATAAAAGTGGTTCTAGAAGAACAGAAGCTTAAGCTGGGCACAGAGGCACATGTCTATGTTCTTAACACTCAGGAGGATCAGAAGTTCAAAGGCCATCCTTAGCGACATAGTGAGATTGAACCCAGCCTGAGCTAGCTACGTGAGACCTAAAAAGTACAAACAAGATAAAGGACAGAATGTAAGGATGAATTGTAGGAACTGGATCTGGGTTTTCTAGAGTTGATTCTCCAGTTACTAGATTTAAAGCCATTTATGATCATTTCCTATGTAAAGAGGGCACAGTGAAGATGGTAAGACATTGCAAATGAATACTCCTAACTAAATACTTATACCTATTAAGGTTCTGTGTGGCCACAGGTTTAATATCTTAGGACATTTAAGATTGGGTTTACAGTGAGATTGTCTGGTTGCTCCTGACTGTGCTAGAGAAAGCAGAGAAGCATGAAATCAGAGCTTCCTATTGCTGAGTGAGCTCTGAGTGAATGTAATGAGATGGATGTGTCTGTGTCTGGCCCTAAAAAACCCTAAAGCTAAAGAGCCAAGAAACCCGAAAGCCAAATTCCAGATCTCATTCTTAAAGTGGCTGAAGTATGAGGCAGACACTCAACTTTGCAGAATGTTTTTATGTAAATTGAAGGTATTGGACCTTAGAAATTGAAATGGGGACATATGGGCAGAGCCCACGAATGAAGGATATTAAATCTCTAAATTCTGCTGAGATTTATTTGCAAGTAGAAGCAGCCTTTGTAACCTCTTCTGTCTGGAACAGTAAGTAGGAAGATTGGTGGTACACAGCAGTCCCCCATCATCGAATGGAAGCAGCAAATATGAGACTAAGCTTAAGCAGGCCGTTGAAGGCCCTATGTGTCCAGAAGGAAGTGGCCCATCTGCCCATGCAGCCTCCTGTTACTGCACTGACTTTCTCTTCCAACCTATACTTGTGACTCAGAAGGGATTCTCTATGACTAGAATGAGGAAGGGAAGATCTCTGGTTTCCACTTGAATCTTCATGAAACGCAGGTACCTCCACAAAGGCATCAGCTGAGTTACCACAGTTCCTTTCTGAGCCATAGTCAAAAAAGATGGTGAAGGGAAGTGTTCCCAGTGGACAGAACTTGGAGCATTACACCCCATCGCTCATTTTTCTTGAAAGGAGAAATGGGCACTCAAACTCTCAGCCATGTTGTAACTTTGGGTTTAGTCCTACAAATTTCAATCTGTGCACTTTGAATTTGTTGTTTAAGAAAGTAGGCTGGGTGTGGTGGTGGACACCTTTAATCCCAGCACTCGGGAGGCTGAGGCAGGTGGATCTCTGTGAGTTCGAGGCCAGTCTGGTCTACATAGTGAGTTCCAGGCCAGCTGGGGCGACAAGAAGACCCTGTCTCAAAAAAGACCAAAAAAAAAAAAAAAAAAGTCTTAGCTAAATGCCCAGGTTCAGGGATGGTCAGGGAAAGGACTTCTGCATAGCACGCAGCTTAAACCTGCCATTTCCCACTTTTTGTGGCAAAAAGAGGAAAGGGTCCCTGGGTACTTTTCACTTCCACTATCTTTCAGGACATTCTTAAGCTCTCTGAAGCTCCCTTATCTGGCCATGCATCTGCTTGTAAATTTCCATTGCTAAGGCTGCTGTTTTCTTGACGTTTAACTAAAAAAAAACAAAGCTTTTTCACTTCCTCTTATCCGGCTCTTTCTTCTTGGCAGCCGCCAAAACCTGAAAATTGCCTGCCATGTTTTTTTTTTTTTTTTTTTTTCCTCTTAAACATCCATAAAATTGTCCTCAAGTTTCCTTAAATTCTTCTGTGAGGCTAACAACTAGCAGAAGAGACTATGAACACTGCATCCATTTCCCACAGGTGTTGCCACCCTTCTGGGTTTATGAAAAAATTTGTATCCAAATTGTAGCCAACATTTATTGAGGTCCACATGCCAGGTACAGTCTAACAGTCTGGGCCTATTCTAGGCTATAATCTCTGTGAGGTGGTGGACCATGAATTTCTTATTGTTCTCTCTTCACTGCCTAGGACCATGGGTGGTGGATATCAAGAACTCAACACAAATATGTAGAGTAAAAAAATCCCATAATAAGCCTGACACAGGTTCCCTAGGTCTATTGCAGTGTGAGAAATTCATCATAGATGGAATTTTACTTTCTATTTATTATTTATTTGTATGTGTATGCACATGTGTCATGGCATACATGCAGAGGTCACTTGTAGGAGTCAGTTCTCTCCTTCCATCATGTGGGCCCAGGAATTGAACTCAGGTTATCAGGCTTGGTGGCAAGCACCTTTACCTACTGAACCACCTCACTGGATCATGACTGGAAATTCTTTACTACTCCTCCCACTGAGATGCGAGGGCTCCTTCCACTCTTCTGGAATCTAAGCTGTTCACAGTGTGCTGCTTGACCAAGAGAATGTGGTGAGAGGGACAGCCCGAGACTTCTGGGTTACAAGAAGGCTTGTAGATTCTATCTGGATTCCCTGGAACATTCTATCTGGATGTCCTGAATCACCATTTATAAAGTCATCTACCTCAGGCCACTATGCTGGTGAGGCCACTGTTGACACAAAAGTACAGCTCTTACCTCAAAAGGGATAATAGATTGTTTATTCTGGAGCCAAATATGAGTGACTGTTGCTCAGGAACACAGATTCAGGTTACCCCAAACACCATGTTCTAATGTGGTAGCAGTTTCATGAAATTTTTATAGTGATAAAATAAAGAAAATCATGAATCAAGGCACTTTTCAAATACACTGATGGAAACATCAAGGATTTGGGTTATAACAAAGTGGGAAGT